GGCCACTTCGTCATTGCTGCGCTGCGACAGGATGCGCAGCACGGTGAGGCCCGTGTCATCCATGTGGATGCGGCGGCCAAGCGGCAGCCAGCAGGCGGCGCTCCCGCGCTGAGCCAGCTCGCGCAGCTGCAGCACAGCCAGCCCCACCGTGCGGTCCTCGCGCGCGAAGCAGTAGTCCTTGACGCACACCTGCAGCTCGTAGCACTCGGGGCCCGCGTCGGCGCTCAGCGTGCTGCAGAAGGGCGGGGCGTGAGAACAGATCCCGCCCACTGGCCAGCCACGGCCCCTACCGGTGACCCGGCCTCCCTCCCGGGCCACGCCCACACCCGGGCGTCCTAAGCTGGGCCACGCCCATATTAAGGGATCCGTCTATTCTCATAAGATTCCACAATAGGCCGGCCCCGTCCCTGCCCAAGCTGTCCAGACCTACAACCCCTCGCTAGGCCACGCCCACACCAGCTGGGCACGCCACCCTAGTATTGTCCGTGCCACCTCTCCTCCCTCCCTTCTCCCTCTCCTACCCAATGATTCCCCCGCCAGCCCATTCCCAGCCCCTAGCCAAACCACGTCCCCATCCCAAGTGACCCTTTCCCCAGACCACCCTGGCTAGGCCATGCTCCCACCTCGTGATACTCGCACACACGCCCTCGGCCGGCTGAGCTGCTGTCCCCACCACCCCGCCCCAGATATGGCACCCAGGAGCCCCCTTTACCAGGCTCCCACCTGAATCCACCTTCTCCCCTTGAACTGTCCCCTCCCTCAAGCTCCCTAGCCCACCCCTTTTACACCCAAGATGCGCTCTCTTCACAACCCTGCCCTAAAATCTCAGCACGAGTCCCCTTATCCCAGGCTGAGTCCCTAGGGGCACTGGGGCCAGCCTTGCTGCTGTCTAGTCAAGAGCTCACTCCTGTCAGGCCACGCCCACACGGATCCCTTCCCAGGCTGCACTCCTAGTCCTCAAGTACTCTAGCCCACCCCAGGAGACATCTGCCCCCTACTAGGCTGTGCTCTTGCTCCCAAGTTTTGCATCAGGTGACCTACCGCTCCAAAGTCCTCTGACCAAGAGCCCTCCCCTGACAGAACTGATGTCACTCCTGCACTAAGGTGCCTCCCTTCCCAGCACCCCCCACCTAGGATGTGATCCCCTCCTGTTCCTGTCCCCAGGTGCCACTGGCCCATGAAGATCCCTCCTGCCTAGTGGGCCCTGAGGTTCATAAAGCAGATGTCCCCTCGCCATGCTCCCCAAAGTGTCCCAGACTCACAACTGGAAACTCTCATTGTACTTAGGGGCCCAGCTGTTGTTCTTGGATTTGGTCGCAAACTTGCGTTTCTTGTCGCTGAGCTGGGGTCCAATGATGTTGACCTCGATGAACGGCCGGAAAATACCAGAAGTCTGCCACTTAAGGTCATTGGCAGCCACCACTGTTGGGGGAAGTATAGGATAAGACCAGTTACTGTCCCCCAGTTTGCAGCGGTGGTTTTCACAATCTCCAAGAAAGACTACATTTCCCTGCATGCCTCTGTAGCTAAGTGTGGCCATATGACTAAGTTCCAGCCAATAAGATGTAAGAGGAAGCACAACTTTCAGGTTGTGGCTTGAAAAGTAAGGAGAATGCCTTAAACTTTCTCCTTCCCTAGCTGGAGGCCGGGATGCTGATGAGGGCTGAGTTCTTTGGGACGCTATAGAAGAAGAAAATACATTAGGGATAAGAGTACAACAAAAGATGACAGGGGCCTGGATCCCTAACACTGTGCCAAAGCCTCCACATCAGCTCTGAGCTGATTGTCCTTGAAGTTAACTCAGAGAAAAATTCATTAATCTATCTTGTTTAAGCTACTGTTATTTTAGGCTTTGGCTAAAACAGCCCAATCTGTGTTTTAATTAACAAAATAAAAGCCAACAAAAGGAAAACAGAGCTGAGAGATAGAGGAAGTGGAATTGAGTCCTGTAACTCTGCACCCCTTGATCCCACCATGGCTGAAGGCAGTTACTTCTGGAATTTATGGTTTTATGAAAACTTTTTTTTTTTAATGAAAAAACTTTTTCTTCCTTAAACTAGTTTGAGTTTGGTTTCTGTCTTAAAACCTAGTGCATCCTGGCTGAGGCATTCTCCCTCCCACCGCAGGCTACTCACCTTTCACTGTGACCTTGTGTTCCCCAGTTCCTGGATGAGTGAAGAGCTCAACGTGGACAGAGACTTCACCCACAGGGTCTTCCACACCCGAGCCTGGGCGGGTTAGGGGAGGATGCTTGGCATGAGCTCCATTCTTTCCCACCCACCAGAAAGGACGTGGACTGCCTCCCACCTGAACTGCCTCCCTCCCTGTGCTGGCGGCATCAGGTCATCAGCCCTGACAGGGTGGCACTGAGGGGTGGCTGGGATGATGGGTGCTCTTGGGGAGGCCAAGAATCCTGAGTTCTAGCCTTTCACTGCCTTGTTGTGTGATCTCAGACAGATCTCTTAACTTTTCTGGGCCTAATGTCCTTTTTCTCATTCCATGCTATCAAACTCAGCCTTCATCTTCCACATCATCTCGGCGGAATCTGACACCCTGGTTTTCTGTGCCTCATGTTCTCCTCTTGGCTGCAACAAGGCCACACTCTCCAGGTTCTCATCCTACAGATTAGTCACACCCTCTTTTGTCCTTTCCTCCTCCTCTGTTGATCTTCAAACTGTTGGGACATCCTGCACCTTAGTCCTCAGCCCCTTCTTTGTTTTCATTTCCTAAGAACTGGTACAGTGGAGAATCCTGCCAGGTCTCCCTTCAAAACACATCCAGAATCTAACCCACCTCCTTGGCCTCCATCCTGGTCCAGCCCCCGCCAATCTTCAGGTAAGGCTAAGTGAACCATGGCTGCCCAATCAGAGTACTCCCTGGCCATGGCTACAGTGATTGGCTCAGGGGTGGTCATGTGACCCAACCTGGGCCAATAGGAGTTGGCCCTGGGACTTTTGCTATAACTCTTAGGAAAGAGTCTCTCTCTGGTGCTGGCTGGGAAAGCTGACTCTGTCCAATAAGAGGAAGGTCCACCCCACTGATGTCTCAACACAGACCAACGACTGATGGCATTGTTGGAGACTCTGGATCCAGCTATTACCGATACTGATTCAATCCCTAATCCTTCAGTTACAGGCTCACAAGTTCTCTAGTCGGCCTGAGTCTGGGTAAGGTATGCTTCAGTTTCTGGCCACCACAAGCATCCTGACTGATTGATTCTGGGGATCACTGAAGGAGTAGTTTAAAAACTTCTGTCCCCACCCTTCCCTCTGTGACTCTGGGAAGGGCATCCTGTGGGGCCTGGGGACCTGTGACCGCCAGCACCCCCCACCAGGCCACTCCCCTGCCCCTAAGAAAGCTCCCCACTCCTGGAGCACCCCATGCATGGGGGGAGGGACAAGGGGAAAGTTAGGAGTGGAGGTGGGGAAGGAGAACGGGCCAGTCCAAGGTTGATCAGGTTACCTGGTATTGGGCGGGAAGTGACTGAGTCTCCGGGGGCAGAGGGGCCTGAAGACCCCCATCACCCCAGTACTGGGGCGTGCATCCCCTCATCTTCGCTGCCCACCCCAGGGCATCGAAGTCTCCCACCCCCTTGTCATCTTAGGCTTCCTCCCCCCTTCCCCCAACCAGTCACATGCTCAGCCTCACCTCCCCCCCACCCCAGGCTGATGCTTCACAGCAAGCTCAATCCGGGCCAGACTGAGGGATGCCAAGGGAGAGTCGGACAGTGGTGGGTGGGGTGAGGGGTCAGATCATGGCCAAAGCTAGTAAGAAGCAGGAGGGGGGCAGTGCTGGGCGCCCCCATCCCGTGGCTTGCTGGCTCCAAGGGAAAGGGGCTTTCCTGGACCTCTCTGTGCTTGCCCCAACCCCATCCCCTATTCCCAAGTCCTGGCCCCCCCTGCAGGGGAAGTTTCCTTGGGCAAGGGGATTAATCTCCTTTGAGACTCAGCTTCCTCATCTATGGAATGATGGACCAGCCTGTGCGGCAACCAGGAGGAATGTCTTCAGGAATCCCAGAAAAGTGCTTGCCACAAGGGCTGGCTTAGAGGTGGAGCCTGAAAAAAGTTGGTTTTCTACACTTGGAAAAGTGAAATCAATAATAAAAATTAAAAACAACAACAACAAGGAAAAAAAAACAGTTGCTGCCAGCTAGTATACATCAGGAACTGCTCTAAATTTAATCCATCTAATCCTAAAAAAAATCCTATGAATTAGGGTCCTTGACTGTTCCCATTTTACAGATGAGAAAACTGAGGCTCAGGGAGGCAGACCCTTGCCGGAGGCGCCCAGCCACGGAATAGGGGCGCTGGGATCTGAGCCCGCTATTAACCCGGCAGGCATCTGTCTGGGGAGCCCGGGATCTGATTTAAGAGAAGCGCTTAGGGAGAAACGAATTCCGACTCGAATCGTTTCTTCTTCCCCATGCGGAACCAGCAAGCC